CTAAACTTACTCCCAGTTCAGTACATCCACACTTACTACTGTGCAATCTACATCTACAGGGCCTTAAACTCTAATATCAACCTTGACCTAAAACGCTTTCTTGATAGTTGTGACAGAACCCACAGGCATAACACCAGACACAAACATCTCTACGACATTCCTCGTGTCCGACTAAACCTTTACAAAAATTCAATGTATGTCAAAGGCCCTAAAATCTAGAATACTCTACCTGAGAACTCTAGAACTGCAGACACATTCATCACCTTCAAAACTACCATTAGAAAACATCTTATCTCCTGATACACCCCGTCAACTAACTACACGAATACCACCTGGTGGTTCACACTTACACTCACCCATTTGACCATAAACAGAAATATTAATCTCAATCTTAAAATAATGAATCCTGTGATACTCCAATACTGAAACTATGTACTGTGCCAAAACAAAAGCATTCACATTGCTAAACTCACAAACTAGTATTTAGTCACTTAGCCATAATACCAACTTACCTCATAATTTGTAATATTTACAATTAAGAATAAAACTAAGTATGCCCGAAATACCTAGCCATGCTAGGCGTTCTAGTGGTACACTCTGTAATGCCTAGCCATGCTAGGCGCTCTAGTGGTACACTCTGTAATGCCTAGCCATGCTAGGCGTTCTAGTGGTACACTCTGTAATCATTATTTAACTACATGTAAACCACACAACAACCAAATTCTGTAAATTCAATATTGTAATCAATATAGAGAATAAACTTTGAATTTGAATTTGAATTTGAATTTGAATACTGGTGCTGCATACTCCAATATGGGCCTGACGTACACGGTGTGCAGTGTGGTGAATGACTAGTTACTCAGGTGTTGGAACACTATTCCTAGGTTTGTCAGGCACCCATACGCTGCAGCAGTTATTTGATTGACGTACACCTCAGGAGATGTGCTCGGTATGATGCTCACCCCAAGATCCTTTCTCTTGAGTGTGGTTTGCAGCCTTTGATTCCCTAGACTGTACTCTGTCTGCGGTCTTCTTTGTCCTTCCACAATCTTCATAACTTTGCACTTGGTGGGGTTGAACTCCAGGAGCCATTTGTCGGACCAGGCCTGCAGCCTGTCCTTTCGAATATCCTGATTAACCTCACATCGTCGGCAAACATAGACACTTCTGAGTCTATTCCTTCCGTCATATCATTCACATATACCAGAAACAGCACCGGTCCTAGGACTGACCCTTGTGGAACCTCACTCGTCACAGGCGCCCACTCTGACACCTCGCTGCATACCATGACTCGTTCTGTACTCACCTAGTTGTACTCACCTAGTTGAGGTTGCGGGGGTCGAGTCCGAGCTCCTGGCCCCGCCTCTTCACTGATCGCTACTAGGTCACTCTCCCTGAGCCGTGAGCTTTATCATACCTCTGCTTAAAGCTATGTATGGATCCTGCCTCCACTACATCGCTTCCCAAACTATTCCACTTACTGACTACTCTGTGGCTGAAGAAATACTTCCTAACATCCCTGTGATTCATCTGTGTCTTCAGCTTCCAACTGTGTCCCCTTGTTACTGTGTCCAATCTCTGGAACATCCTGTCTTTGTCCACCTTGTCAATTCCTCTCAGTATTTTGTATGTCGTTATCATGTCCCCCCTATCTCTCCTGTCCTCCAGTGTCGTCAGGTTGATTTCCCTTAACCTCTCCTCGTAGGACATACCTCTTAGCTCTGGGACTAGTCTTGTTGCAAACCTTTGCACTTTCTCTAGTTTCTTCACGTGCTTGGCTAGGTGTGGGTTCCAAACTGGTGCCGCATACTCCAATATGGGCCTAACATACACGGTGTACAGGGTCCTGAATGATTCCTTATTAAGATGTCGGAATGCTGTTCTGAGGTTTGCTAGGCGCCCATATGCTGCAGCAGTTATTTGGTTGATGTGCGCTTCAGGAGATGTGCCCGGTGTTATACTCACCCCAAGATCTTTTTCCTTGAGTGAGGTTTGTAGTCTCTGCCCCCCTAGACTGTACTCCGTCTGCGGCCTTCTTTGCCCTTCCCCAATCTTCATGACTTTGCACTTGGTGGGATTGAACTCCAGGAGCCAATTGCTGGACCAGGTCTGCAGCCTGTCCAGATCCCTTTGTAGTTCTGCCTGGTCTTCGATCGAGTGAATTCTTCTCATCAACTTCACGTCATCTGCAAACAGGGACACCTCAGAGTCTATTCCTTCCGTCATGTCGTTCACAAATACCAGAAACAGCACTGGTCCTAGGACTGACCCCTGCGGGACCTCGCTGGTCACAGGTGCCCACTCTGACACCTCGCCACGTACCATGACTCGCTGCTGTCTTCCTGAAAAGTATTCCATGATCCATTGTAGTGCCTTCCCTGTTATCCCTGCTTGGTCCTCCAGTTTTTGCACCAATCTCTTGTGTGGAACTGTGTCAAACGCCTTCTTGCAGTCCAAGAAAATGCAATCCACCCACCCCTCTCTCTCTTGTCTTACTGCTGTCACCATGTCATAGAACTCCAGTAGGTTTGTGACACAGGATTTCCCGTCCCTGTGTGTGTATATACATGTATGTGTGTGCGTGTACTCACCTAATTGTGGTTGCAGGGGTCGATTCATAGCTCCTGTCCCCGTGTGTGTATGTATGCGTGTGTGTACCCACCCACTCATACACAAACATGGCTGCCAACCACTCCTCTGCCCATTCACCCACCCTCCCTGCCTATCCTGCCCACCCACCCTGCCCACCTCCTTACCCCCCGCGTGCATCTCTGTACCACAGCAAAAACTGGACCCAAGATGGTACGGGGATGGACCTTAAGGCCCGGGTGGGTGGCTTGACTACGCCCTGGGTGGGTGGGTGTATGGGTGGGCCGCCCACAAGCACAGGGGGTGGGCTAGCCTTCACCTAGCATAAGTTCCAACTTTACTTCCTTCATCTCTTCCTTCACTTCCATCATTCTTTCCTTCACATCCTTCATCCCTTCCTCCATTTCCTTCATGCCCTCTTTCACTTCCTTCAACCCTTCCTTCATTGCTATCATGCCTTCCTTCAGGCTTTCCTTCACTTCTTCATACCTTCCTTCACTCCTTCCTTCACTTCATTCTCTCTCCTTGTTTTGCTACGACACTTCCTTCATCTCATTACTCAATCATTCATTTCATTCACTGTTCTTTCATCCTAAACACACACACACACACACACACACACACACACACACACACACACACACACACACACACACACACACACACACACACACAGGAAGTATTTCTTCAGCCACAGAGTAGTCAGGAAGTGGAATAGTTTGGGAAGCGATGTAGTGGAGGCAGGATCCATACATAGCTTTAAGCAGAGGTATGATAAAATTCATGGAGCAGGGAGAGCGAGGATCTAGTAGCACTCAGTGAAGAGGCGGGGCCAGGAGCTGAGTCTCGACCCCTGCAACCACAATTAGGTGAGTACACACACACACACACACACACACACACACACACACACACACACACACAAGGTCAGTGTACATGATTGTTTTTCAGTTGGTAGACACTGCAAGCCTCTAGCAATTATCTCCCGGGAGGAACACCAGCATCTCTCATCTCCTGCCTCTCATCTCCTGCCTCTCATCTCCTGCCTCTCATCTCCTGCCTCTCATCTCCTGCCTCTCATCTCCTGCCTCTCATCTCCTGCCTCTCATCTCCTGCCTCTCATCTCCTGCCTCTCATCTCCTGCCTCTCATCTCCTGCCTCTCATCTCCTGCCTCTCATCTCCTGCCTCTCATCTCCTGCCTCTCATCTCCTGCCTCTCATCTCTACTTACTAATGCAACTATTACTACCAGCACTACTAATACTATTATTAATACTGCCACTACTACTACTATTGTAGTAAATATTCGGCTATTACAGCTTACTCTCCCCTCACTATCCCCTCACTATCCCCTCATTCTCCTCTCCCCTCACCCCTCACTCTCCCCTCACAAGTGCACCATGACCCTGGTACCACCATAACAGGTCTGGTCTTCACACAACACTCACAGTTGACTTGCGCATTAGCGTAGTCTAGTACACACCCGTGTACGCGTCTCTAACATCACCTACAATGAGTACACACCAGTGTACGTTTCTCTAACCTCATGTACAATATGTACACACCCGTGTACGGACCTCTAACCTCACCTACAATGTGTACATACACCAGTGTACACATTGTAGGTGAGGTGAGAGGTGTGCCGAACAATAACATGGATGGTAGGTATTGTGGACCTACGAACTTATTGCTGTTAGTGAATTGTGGCCTTTGGGTAGTGTGTGTGTGTGTGTGTTTGGCGGCTAATTAGGTTCAAAGTCTATCTACTACACGAGGGTCATTAAGGCTGCATGTCACCTGCTCACCACCAGTCAAGAAGACTTTAATAACTAAAATACTGATTAAACTCTCAGTGTATATACACTGAGAGACACATCACAGTGTATATACACTGAGAGACACATCTCAGTGTATATACACTGAGAGACACATCACAGTGTATATACACTTAGAGACACATCACAGTGTATATACACTTAGAGACACATCACAGTGTATACACAATGAGAGACATATCAGTGTATATACACTGAGAGACATACACATCACAGTATATATAAACTAGAGGTATAAGGAGACTAGCACCACAGTACCTATTTACTGCTAGGTGAACAGGGGCAACAGAGAATGAGATTTAAACGAACCGAACGACAGAACAAATGAGAGACAGAATACAGAGAGAGACAGAGATATAGACAGAGAGACGGCTGGCGGTGTTTTTGTTCGTCAGGAGAAATGGGCAAAAAGAAAAGTGTAGCTTAGTGGTATCACATATCTGGTGAGTCAGACTGACTGGATGTATGTGTGTACTCACCTGGTTGTGGTTGCAGGGGTCGAGTCACAGCTCCTGGCCCCGCCTTTTCAATGTACGTGTGTGTTTAAAGCACTACTGAATATACTAATTCGTTCAGGTATCTAACACAGACAATAATAATTAAGCTGTCTATCCACATCACATGTGACCTAAAACTGCCTAGGTCTTAAAAAAATGTGAACTAGACCTATAAGGTCTGAAATGTGTCGCTGTCGAATTTACACTTCAAAGTGAATGGAATGAAGGAATAGCCTATGGAACGAAGGAGAAAACGAGAAGGAAGAAGAGGAGAAGGAGGAGGAGGAGGAGGAGGAGGAGGAGGAGGAGAAGTGTTAAGAGGTGATAGCAGGGTAGGAAATTTAGAAGAAAGAAGGGGAATAACAAATAAGGAGGATTAAAATAAGAGAGAGAGAGGTGTGAGGCATGAAGCTAGAAGCTATTATGGTCCAGCTACCTCTTCAACTCCTCCTCTTCCTCCTGTTCCTCTTCCTCTGCCTCCTCCTCCTCTTCCTACCCCTGCCAGGAGTGAAGGTAGAGTAGCAGCACTCCCATAACTTCAGAATGTAGGGAGACAGTGCAAAGAAAACAATAACCAGACGTCAATAAAAGCGTAAGAAAAGCACAAGAGACGAAGATGGGAGTGAGAAAGTGTGGATAATGGAAGAGGGAACAGAGGAGAGAAAGTAACGAAAGTGAAAAACGGAAATATATAGAAAGAAAATACGTGACACCATCCATTGAGAATGAAATCTAGATAACATAAGAGGGAGCAGAGAAGTGACGAGTGTTTGGAGGAGGAGGAGGAGGAGGAGGAGGAGGAGGAGGAGGAGGAGAGTCAGAATTAGAAGAAGCAGTACACACCATGGCTCGGGTGCTCTCCACAAGGTACAGAAATAAGGAACAACAGAGACAAGGCATCCTACCGCCTCAAG